CTGTGATTGGTCTGGAAGTCCAAACCATCCAAAAATGTTTTCACATTGCAGATGAACCAAACCGTGTTATTCAGACTTCACTACTTTTTCAGAGTATTGCAGCGTGTTTGGGTGGCTGTTCTACTGTATTCATTCGCTGGGTTTTTCTACACAGACTCTTTTTTGAGGCGGGGCTGGTCTGCAGGCTGTGCGTTTATGTTACGTCTACAGTAGTTTTTCCAATAGATTTTTCAGAATGCGAGTGAGAAAAAGGATGGAACATGTGCTATTATGCCAAATCAAGAAGACAAACCATTTAACTGGGTGTTTCAGCTTTTTTGTCTCATGTGAAAAAATTGGAAGTCAATGTCTCAAATGATAATCAATGCGATCATTTGATGATCAGATCCATCAGATTAGTTAGTCACACTCCTAACATGTACATATACATACATGCAGAATTAAAGAGAATATAAAATACCAGGCAATACTACAGTGCTGAAGCTTCAGGGCTGAAAATCAAAATGATTCTGCATGATTCTTATTAGGATTTTTATCTTCCACGTTTTTATGATTCTTTGATGCACTAATTTTGTAAATCGTGATATGAATACAGATTAGCTTACATAATGTAGCTTGCAATGTGTTCATAATAGTATATCTCTGTGCATGTTGAGTTTGATTCTGATTTGTGCTGCTCCCTTGGCGCCCCCTTGTGTGATTGACATGCAGTGCACTGCATGCACCTCTCCTCTACTGAGCACAGCAGAAAAAGTACATTTACAGACAGTAAAATTTACTCCTGCCAGAGCACCACAGAGAACCTGTACAGAACTCATCAAAAACTTAGTGGGAACTAGCTGTGAAATTCTCAGACTACATCATAAGCCTAAGGCCGAGCTCCATACCAACTGTTACTCACTCTAAATTCATCATAAGCCTAATGACTTTTCAAATATCTTCCTTCACTCGACCTAACTTCATCACAAGCCTGAGGTCTTGCCCACAAAACCTTCTATGAGTTGCTAATGTAGGCCTAAGGTCTAGCTGTAATCCTGCTTTTGATTACTTTGACCTCAAGTTCTTGGCTTGAATCCACTTCTACATTGTCACCTTGAACCTAAGGCCTAGCTCTAAACATAGTATTACTCACTCTAACTACATGATAAGCGAGAAGCCTAGCTGTTAGTCTAATTTAGCCTATTCTAACTGCAGCATGAGCTTAAAACCTAGTTCTGTACCTGATTTTATTTATCCAACTTCATCATAAGTCTAATGGAGCGCTATAGATCTCAGTTCACTCACTCTTACTCCATCACAAGCCTGAGGCCCTGCCCTAAGTTTACTTTGACATTCTTTAACACTATAGTTACTGTTGCTCACTCTAACTTCACTGCAATAATAGGGCCGAGCTCTAAACCTACCATCACTAACTCTGTGTACACTGTAAGCCTGAGCCTAACTGGAAAGCTCATATTGCTCACTCTAACCTCTTTGTAAACCTAAGGCCTAACCCTATAGCCACTGGTACTTACGCTATCTACATTATAAGCCTGAGGCCGAGCTCAAAGGCTACTTTTGCTTGTTTCAGCTTCATCATAAGCGTAAGACTTAGAATGCAGATGGAGTAGGGAACAGGCCCTATAGAGCTAGGCCTTGGGTTTGTGCTTTATTCTAACTTCCTCATGAACCCAAGTCCTTGTTCTGAAACCACTGTTACTTATTTCACTACAATAAAGGGACAAGGCCTAGCTGGAAGCCTCCTTTTACTTACTCTGACTTCATTATAAACCCAAGGCTGAGCTCTGAACCTAATATTACTTACTCTGACTACATTATGAGCCAGAGGTCCAGCTGAAAGGCTAATTTTGGCTTACTCAGACTACATCGTCAGCTGAAAGCCTAGCTCTGGAACTACTTTCATTTCTCCAACGTCATCATCAGCCTAGTAGCTTATCATGTTCTTAATTTTACATGCTTCATCATAAATCTGAGATCTAGCTTTTGGACTACTATTGCTTAATCTATCTACATTACAAGCCTGATGCATAGCTCTAGGCGCACTTTGCTTATTCCGAGTACATCATGAGCTGAAAGCCCAGCTCTGTACCTACTTTTATTTCTCTGACCTTATGTACCTCATTTCACTCGTCCCCATTTCATGCCTTGCTACGTACCTGTTCATACATTTAGAAGCCTAAAGCTTAGCTCCAAACTTATTTTGACTCATTCTAACTTTTTCATTAACCTAACGCCCAGATGTAGAACTACTGTTATTAGTCTAATCTCATCAAGTCTAAGGCCTACCTCAGGGTTCCTTAATCCTGCTCTTGCGAGCACACCACACTACACAGTATTTCAACCATTCCCTGATCCAGTTCATAATCACTTGATGAGCTGGATCAGGTGTGTGGAGTGAAATAACTGCTGGAGACTTTTACTTACTCTAACTACAGTGTACTTCTGTATAATAACTTATTTTATTTATTTATTTTTTAAACATGGTTTCAGAGCTCTCTTTGTTCATCCCACATTAACTCCACTGATGAATTTCTCCTTGTCTTCAAAGTAACGGTGCCCTCATTCAAATACACATAACGAAAAAAACCTCTTTAAGCAAAACCGTTGGTGGCTCTTAAAAGAGCCATTGGCTTGATCAAGTCTTGGTCACTTTTTACTTGGAGCTGGTGTACTTGGTGACGGCCTTGGTGCCCTCGGACACGGCGTGCTTGGCCAGCTCACCGGGAAGAAGCAGGCGCACGGCGGTCTGGATCTCCCTGGAGGTGATGGTGGAGCGTTTGTTGTAATGAGCCAAACGGGGCGACTTTCTTGGACCCCTTCTTTGGGGTGGACTTTGCGGATTCAGGCATGGTTCCTCTCTTCGAGTATGACTGAAGAATGAGGAGAAGCGCCCGGCACCGGCTTATTTAGACTCTGACATTCTCCGGCCCCCGAATGCTATCATTGGACAACAATCAACGGCTCCCTTGGCAGAGAACTCTCAGCCCCTCCTCCCCCTGCCTCAGCTGAAAACTCTTCCTTTATTCACCTTCCCGCGCATTCTTGGTGTCTCCAGTACAATAAGTGTGTCCCTATCAGGCTTATTCCAAATACGAGCTTTGGTTATGTTCTATTTTCATTCCACAGTTAAACACACACACGTGTGCAAACTGTGCACTTATCAACCCATGAAAATGCATCAAATAAATAGATGATACAATTTAACAAATTTGGGGACTGTGAAGCTACGTTATCCCCAATTATCTCTCCTGAGGTTCTAGCAATAGTTTGTTTTTTATCAGTCATGCTAAAGAATAAAAAAAAAACTACAAAGTTCTAATGGAAAGCTTTGTGTTTTCATTATTACTGAACACACTGTTCTGGAATTTAAACAGTGTGTAAGAATAATATAATACCAAAACGCATGATCATGTATGTGTATTGTATATACAATGTATTAAAACTAATGAGAGGGTTTGTGGAGGAAATAAGTGCTACAGCTCTAACGGATGAAGCTTGGGCGCCATGCTGTATTCAAAACTTGAACTCACCAGAGAAAGAGCATTAGATTCTTTACCGTAAATACTGAACTACTGTATGAAATAATGTGGTGTTGTAGCTGTAATCGTTCTATGATTAGCGTCATTTTATTTCTCTCTTTATTTACACAGCCTCAGAAACTCAACAATTCAAAAAGTCATGTAACAATATAATAAGAAACATAATATCCTCATTTTATTTATGGAGCCTCACAGACACAGTGATTCAAGAAGGCACTTAGTAACACAATATTTACACATTTTATGAAAGCATCTCTTATTCTGCTACTTGCAGGTTCACATTCTGACCACACGGTGGCGACCAAGCTCCATCGATGACCAACCACCCTTAGACCAAAACCCCAGAGCTGGTCTTTCTGCTCTGTGTTTTCTCTGATCAGCACATTAATAATGAAACTTATATTCGGTGCAGCTATTATCAGTTACTCATTATCACAAAAAATACATATCAAATACAGCTTTACTTTGTTGTTCGTAGTGCTTAGCAAATACTGAGAATGCCAGCGTGTCAGATGCTCACACTACTCTCTTGTATTACACAACCTGTTTTCGTTTTCTGCGATCAGCAAAAAAAATACTTAATCTACATATTTGGTGCTACTATTATATAATAACTCATCACAAAAACCAGTTTTGTTTTTTCTTTTTTGGAGTTCCTAGTGTTTGGTAAATACTGGGCAGAACGCCAGTGTGTCACATGCTTGTACTACTCCCTATACTATTACACTCCACCTGCATTTCCTTGACATGAACAGGGACAATCAAATCCCATTACTACGCTACGGACTCTGCTCAAATAGGGAATGAATATCTCAGCAGCTGAGCTGTAACTAAGCAGCGCATCACGACTCTACAGGGAGACGCTCGCTTTCATACAACTCTAAAACACTGCGCTCCTTATTCATGCATACATATCACCATAACATAAAAGAACTCGGAGGTTGCTAGGACACTCGCTCTTTTGGACTGGAACAGTTAGGC